CACAACCTCAAGCCAAAATACATCTGCAAAATGTAATAAATATTTTATATGAATATAAGAGTCATCACAATTTTAAAAGGGATAAGTGGGAAAAGACAGACAGATGCAGCTCATCTGAATCCCACTTTAGTGTCTCCCAAGCATCAAGTTGCTAACTGACGGAGACCGTCAATCTACAGTGCTCTAAGATTCCAGCCGAAGCCAATAGCCTTACCTGTTAATACGAGATTACTGTAAGTATTGGAGAATTGCTCCTTTAGAAGAACCAGATGCATCTGAGCTGCCTTCTCCCGTTGGAGCTCCAGCATAACATCAGGGTGCTGGGCAATCTTGCAGCCTTTCTGTTTATCCAAGGCAACATCACTTCGAACAATGTCTAAGAAAAGAAAGAAAGAATACAGGCAGCAAAAAACAAAACAAAACAAAAGCCATATACACATCAAAGTCCTGTTGCACCCAATATGACAGAATTTATAAACTACCAGCATTTTCATCAAAGTGAAGAGATTCAGAAATAATAAACCTGAAGGGTCTCCTACTTCATGATGCATCCTACAAGTTTCTCTGGTCATCTCCAAATTCTCTGGAGATTTCTGTTTCTTAGCTTTCTCTGACCTCATTTAAGATTCTCACTACTCCATTCCTCTTCTCAGCTCACATCTAGGACTTATGTGCCTCCTGGTCCCTTTTCTTAACATCTTTTACCATGGGGAAAAATAATACGACCTTGCCTGAATACTAGTGACTATGAAGGTCATTCCCTCTACTTCAGGCTGTAGGACTGAGTGATAGCACCAGCATGTGTATTCAGGATACTTGGCCTGTTTTCAAATTTACCCCCACCCAGCCCATTCAGCTCAAATGAAAGCTGCCATTCTGTGGTATAGCTGCTTAGGACTTCTACTGCTATTTTTCATGTACCTCTGAGTATATTCAGACTCATTAATTGCCCTTTAAATATATAAAGTATATAAAAGTATTTTGTGGGTCACTGAAGAAAGCAAGAGTAGGGCTAGAGTCACTTTGGAGAACTGCCTCTTTCCCAATTATTTTCCTATTAGTGATAGGCTGCCTTTCACACTTCAGTATGATTTTCACTCAAAGCATATGTATTCTCCAGAAAACAGCCCTTCTCAAAAACAAACATTCATCTAGAATGCTGCCCAAAAAGCAGGGACCTTTTATGTCCTGAAGTAACTTGTTTATTTTTACAAATTAAAAGATAACTCAGCTGATTATCATAGGGACAAATGATATTATCAGCAGCAATTGGAATGACAACTCTAGAAACTTTCAAGTTTTACGTAACAAACTGAAGGATTTTAGGGGAAAAAAGTGCTAAAAATAAAAAAACTGCTCTGCCACTACTGATACCAACGGCTTTGGAAAAGAAAAACTAACGCCCATGTCAATGGTACCAATAGGAAAGTTTTGGCTCTTTAAGCAATATCAATGACACCTAAGAGAAAACAGGGCATGTGACATGAAGGGCTGATCATCACTTTGTGCAAAAAGATTTTCAAACACATCAAAAGAGCCCTAAAGGAGAAGATCAGATATAAAAACAAACCCATGACAACTTCTTCTACCTTCTGAGCATTAGGATGTGTGGTTGACAAAGATTAGCCAGATGTAAGAATGGTCCTCACTCATTCTTAAATAAAAATAGAGGAGCTGGTTGGAAATAATGCAATATTTATGCCTAAACATATTTATACTAATTTCTAGGATGTAGGCAATAAGGTGCATGCATTTAACAATCAAGTAAGTAATAATCTCATAGATTTTCTAAGCCTTGAATACAAAATTAGAATAAATTTAAGAATACACTCTAGTTTATAAGATCATCAATAGAAGATAAGAGGAATAATGAACACAGTATACATCTATTTAAGTTACACTCTGTAAAGTTTTTTAAATACAGTGTATCATTGAATTCTTCCAACCATCAATGAAAGCAGACATTGTTGACTAGCTGACCCAAATCCTAAACACAATCCCTTCTCCTTTGCCTTCCTCTACTACAGAGACTGAAGAGCTAAAATATATAATTCCCCAGCTTTCCTTGAAGCAAAGAGTGGCCATGTAACATGCTTCTGGCCAATGAGCTGCAGGCACACATCCCTAGTAGGACCTCCCTGGCCAAATTAAAAGACAGAACTTCACTAAGACCAGTTTTTTTTCCTTCAGCCCTTTAGTCCTTCCTATTCTTTATGCCTAAAACACAAAGTTATAGTAGCCATTTTGTGGCAATGAATCAAGAAGCAAGAGGGCAAAGGTCTTACGCACTAAGGATGGTGAACAGGAAGATGGGAGGAGCTTAAGTCCCCTAACGTCATTATTGAGCTACCATACTTGTGCTAGACTGCCTATCTTTTGTTTCTTGTTATGTAACATAAAAGCACTATTTGTATAAACCATTAACAGTCAGTCATGTATTTTTGAAATCCTAATCTGTTTTGTAATCCTAAATGATAATGAGTAATATTATTATCCCTAATTTATATATGGAAAAACTGAGGTCCACAAAGCATAAGTGACTTGCTCAAGTTCACATATCATGGTCAGTCCCCAAATCCAGAAATTTTCAAAGCCAAATCCACTGATCTTTCCAGAAGTTACTCCTATATAGAAACTCAAGAACTTAATAGTAAAGTATGGTAAACAGTAAAACTGAGGAAATAGAAAGAAAACCTTTTTATACTATATAGTAGCATACCACAGCTGATCTATCCAGAAAAGAAATATGGATACTTTCCCAAAAAAACATTACAAAACTCGTACCAAAATATACTACAAAGAGGAAAAAGAAGTTTCAATTATCCTGATATCTTCTAATAGAAGTCTAATTCAAAGGGTAGAATATCTACTAAACTCTCTATTTCCTATCTAACAAATGTATTGCGCAGAAGGTAGAAGAAGCATAATTACAACTGATATCCTCAATGTCATTTAAGCCAGAACCTTGAAATAAAGTGAACAAATTACCTAATATTAAGAATAGTAAGAAAGAAAACAATGGGCATGGCCTAACAAATGTCCTAGACTTAAAAAAGTACATTTCAACAATGTTTGGGGAAAACATACATTTGCAATATAGAATTTTTTATTGAGGTATAGTTGATTTATAATATTATATTAATTTCAGATCTACAAAATAATGATTCAATATTTTTATAGATTATACTCCATTTAAAGTTATTATAAAATATTGGCTATATTCCCTGTGCTCTACAATATATCCTTCTGGCTTATTTATTTTATATATGGTAGTCTGTAACTCTTAATACCCTATCCCTATTTTGCCCCTCCCCGCCTTCCCTCTACCTACTGGTAACCACTAATTTGTTCTCTATATCTGTGTCTTTTTGTTGTTGTTATATTCATTATTCTGTTTATTAGATTATTCTACATATAAGTGATAACATAATAGTATTTGTCTTTCTCTGACTTATTTCACTAAGCATAATACTCTCCAGGTCCATCCATGTTGTTGCAAATGGCAATATTTCATCTTTTTATGGCTGAGTAATATTCTAATGTTCTATCAACAGATGAGTAGATAAAGATGTGATGTGATACACACACACACACACACACACACACACACACACACACACATATAATCTCACATGTGACTGACCCCCTGTCGGTCATATGATTTATAAATATTTTTTCCTGTTCAGTAGATTGTCTTTTCATTTTTGCAATGGTTTCCTCTGCTGTGCAAAAGCTTTCTAAGTCCATTTGTTTAGTTTTGCTTTTGTTTCCCTTTATCTTAGGAGATAGATCCAAAAAATATTGCCATGATTAATATCAAAGAGTATTCTGCCTATGTTTTCTTCTAGGAGTTTTATGGTTTTCAATCTTACATTTAGGTCTTTAATCCATTTTGAATTTATTTTTGTATATGGTGTGAGAAAGTAGTCCAGTTTGATTCTTTTGCATGTAGCTGTCCAGTTTTCCCAGCCCCCCTTATTTTTTTTTATTTTTTTTTTTATTTTTTTTTTTTGCGGTGCGCGGGCCTCTCACTGTTGTGGCCTCTCCCGTTGCGGAGCACAGGCTCTGGACGCGCAGGCTCAGCGGCCATGGCTCACGGGCCCAGCCACTCCGCGGCATGTGGGATCCTCCCGGATCGGGGCACGAACCCGTGTTCCCTGCATCGGCAGGCGGACTCTCAACCACTGCACCACCAGGGAAGCCCCCAGCACCACTTATTGAAGAGAGTGCTTTTCCCCATTGTATATTCTTGCTTTTTTGGTCATAGATTAATTGACCATAAATGTGTGGGTTTATTTCTGGGCTCTCTATTCTGTTCCATTGATCTGTGTGTCTGTTTTTGTGTAGGTACCATTCTGTTTTGATTACTGTAGCTTTGTAGTACAGTCTGAAGTCAAGATCTGTTCCTCTTTCTCAACATTGCTTTGGCTATTCAGGGTCTTTTGTGTTTCCATACAAATTTTAAAATTGTGTTCTAGTTCTGTGAAAAAAATGCCATTGATATTTTGATAGGGATTGCATTGAATATATAGATTGCCTGGGGTAGTATGGTCATGTTAACAATAATGATTCTTCCAATCCATGAACACGTAATATCTTTTCATCTGTTTGTGTTATCTTCAATTTCTTACACCAGTGTCTTATAGTTTTCTGAGTACAGGTCTTAGGTAGGTTTCTTCCTAGGTATTTTATTCTTTTTGATGTGATTGTAAATGGGATTGCTTCCTTAGTTTCTGATAGTTCATTGTTATATAGAAATGCAAAGATATCTGTATATTAATTTTGTATCCTGCAACTTTACCAGATTCATTGGTGAGCTCTGGCAGTTTTCTGGTGGTGTCTTTAGGATTTTCTATGTACAGTATCATGTCATCTGCAAACAGTGACAGTTTTACTTCTTCTTTTCCAATTTGGATTCCTTTTATTTCTCTTCCTTCTCTGATTGCTGTGGCTAGGACTTCCAAAACTATGTTGAACAGAAGTGGTGAGAGTATCTAGGCAGCACGCTTCTGGCCCATACAAGTCAATATATAGAATTAACCATCACAGTGACATTCTGGAAAAGGCAAACCTATTGTGCAGTAATCAGATTAGTGATTGCAAGAGAAACGGAGATTACTGAACACAAAAGGATATGAGGGAAGTTTGGGGGAGGTGATGGAATGTGCCGTATTTTTATGTGGTGGTACTTACACGACCATATAGGTCTGTCAGAACTCATTGAATTGTACACATAAAATGGGTGAATTTCCTTATATGTAATTATACCTCAATAAACATGAATTTTTTAAAAAAAGTGGTGAGAGTAAACATCCTTGTCTTGATCCTCATCTTAGAGGAAATGTGTTCAGCTTTTAACCATTGAACATGATGTTA